TATTTTTGCTGATGTCCACTCTTTTGCTTAAAATTGCACGGAAAATTGTGTGTTTCCTTTTGGCTAAAATTGCATGTAAAAAACTGTTCATTCCATCATTTTTAGGATTTCTTCTTCAATTTATCAGTACCTACTGAAAAACTCATATGACTGGATGTCACATATTCTAGGAGTTTTCACAATTATATTTGACAGATAGGTTTCATGGCCCCTAAACATCTTATTTTCATAGTATCCTGCAAGATAGTTTTTAAACGTGGGAAACAGCAACTATGATCAAAATGGAAATGCACTCCAGTGCCTATGCACACATTTATATGCCCACACAAGAATGTTAATATGCTCTTATATGTGTGTGCACACAGATGTCAGTGGATACACACATGTGGATATAGTCTGTAGCCAAAGATGAACACAGTGTTTCAAAGATGACGAGACCAATAAGGGTCAGGGGGAAAAAAAAAACACCTCCTGGACATCTTTATTGATTCTTCAAACACATGCTGCCCACTAGCATAGCAACTGAAGCAGATCTCATAAAATACAATGAGTTCTGTTTCCTAGGTAGGCAGAAGCATAGAGGCAGCTTGGGGGTGACTAGCTCTAGAGATTCCACAGGACGGGTGAGAGAGTGTTTTAAATAAAAGACTGCAATTAAGAGACCGAGAAGGTAGTTTCTATGTAACATGATCCCCTGCACTCCCAAAACAGCTGAGTGTGGTGGTTCACGTTTACAGTGCTAGCATTGGAAAGACAGAGACAGGAAGATCCTTTCAAAATCACTAACCAGCTTGCAAATCACACACACACACACACACACACACACACACACACACACACACACACACAAATGCATGTGCCCACACACATGCAGGCATGCACACATGCACGCACATGCCTGCAATCAAGACCTAATGACAGGATTACACTTCAGCCAATGCAGAATTTTCTTTCACCTCCTTGTCTCTTTAGGTGATGAGTGCTCATAGCTGAATAAACAGTGATAGTTTGGTGTGTCTTTCAATAACCAAATTTGTAACCACATCCTATGGTGTCTTTCACCTTTATTCTTGACCTCACATTCACAGGCTCATGCTGGCTCCTACCCTGTCTTGCCTGGCTCCACAAAATGCTCCCTTCCAAGTGCTGTGCTCAGGCAGCCCAGCTGAGCTCCCTAATTCTTCCCAGGTGAGACTCAGAAACAGCGTCCGCCGCACAGGGTCACTGCCATCTGCCAGACCCTATGACTGAACTGAATTAACCTTCCGTTTGCAGGAAGAGCAGCTCGCCCCATGGCTTGCCAAAAAGAAGAGGTGAAATCTGGGCTTCCTGAATATGTTCGTTCAGGGAAACACTCTGTGTCGGAATATTCAATACTGGACAGAGAAGTGCTCTCTCCCTCCATTCTGCAGAGGAAGATCTGTGACAGCAAAGACTCACCCGCTCCCCACTCATTTACACAAATTCAAAACAGGTCTGGAAGAACTATGAGATTACTTTTCTGTACAAATGTATAAAATGGAGCCTTTTATTCTTTAAAGAAAAAACACCCAGGCATGGTGATGTATTCCATAATCTCAACACTCAGAAGGCCAAGACAGGGGACTCATGAGTTTGAGGTCATTCTGGGCTTCCTAGTAACCCTGAAGCCAGCATGGGCTGTACTGAAAGATCCTGTCTCAAAGAAAACTTTTTAAATACAGGAAGACATATTGCAACATAGAACTGGATGTTATCACAGGTGTTTGGAAGTGAGTTCAATCTGCTGCCTTCATAAAGAAGTGTTTATCTTTCCTGCATGCTCTTTTTCCCTTTTTATGGTCCTCAAGTGGATCTTACCTGCTCCATAAGCTAGCAGAGGTATCGGGGAAAACATGCCTAGATGGGTCATGTGTGTAAATGGCCACTGTAGGAGGAGAGCATGATGGGTAAAAACCATCCTCTTGCACCTGTTTCCTCCCAAGAGCAGCTGTGCCCACAAGATGTATGGTGACTTTGATGACAAGTGTCTTGATAGCCTAGGGGAGTATCTCCAAGGGTACTGGTCCATCTCATCAGCACCCTGCTGTTGGCAGCTTGAAGAGCTAACGTTCTATCATGGATGGCCCTGTTCTAAGGGGCCCCTGGATGTTCCATCAACAATGACTCTATACACTAGTCACTCTTTCTTAATCGCTTTTTAGGCATACAGTGTTGTAAACATGAAAAGCAATAAATACGATAAAGAGTGAATGAGACACAGGTGTCTAAACATAATAAAACCTACCCATTAAAGAGATTGAAATGAGCTACTTTCTCCTTCAGCAGATTTTTATGTCTCACTTACACCCATTTTCACAAAACAGAAGTCAGATGTGTACTCCTGAGAGATGCAGGAACACACATCTGACTAGCAGGACTAGCTAGTCCTAACTGGAAGAGAGTTGTGTTGTTCCAGGGGAGAATCCAGACAGACCGTTTGTGTGATACTATTTTTGGGGGGACACAAACAAACATCTACTAACCCCAGGTAGGGATTTGACCCCCAAACTCCAACCTAGTGAAGCAATGAGTGTTATTGGGGTTACCTACAGGAGTACAAGTGAGGGGTTACTAACAGGAGCATGACTGCCACAGAGACAAGGGCATCACTCAAAAGCCCCCCAACTAGGTAATGACTCATGAAAGCTGTACCCTGACTCTGTGACATGCAGTGAGATCGAACACTCTGACAGTGTCTCTCCTCAAGTCATCCTTTCTGCTTATGGAATCTTGAAGATGGGGGAACCTTGTGAATCTATGTTTCAGGAACTTCCAAACACTTCTGAGTCTTTAACTTCCTAAGTCCTATGATCCACCTTTAGAATTCCCTGGGTATCTATCTCCAGGATAGGATGTTTCTATTCAGGGTTCACTGCTACCCAACACTTCTGAGAGCTTAGAAAAGCTAATCCATGTTCAAGTGCAGATGTCTGGGAGTGTCAGGCATCTCAGAGAAGTCTAATTGCTGCCTTACTTTCTCTTTTTAAGCTCTCTTCCAAAGGTAGTGCCCATTCATAACTACAAAGGGAAACAGCCACCTTTCCTTAGCATTACCTACCCCTGATCCCCTGAATCTCAGCCAACAGACAACCCTGATTCATAACTTAACCCAGTGTTGAGACGCTGAGCTGAGTTTGCAAGACCCTTGAGTGACATATGGACATTGTTGGATAAAGTGCGGCCTGGATATGGAAGATGTGTGACTGTTTCTCTGGTCCATTCTGCCAACTGTGGCTGGTCATAGTGTCAGACCAGAGGTCAAGTCAAGCCTTCCCACAGTTCTGCTTCAAAGGGGTCTCAGGAGGGAATGCAGACTTCTGGCTCTACAGACTTGAAGGAAGCCTCACATGGGTCATTAAGACAGTTGCTTTTGGGAGGATGTGCTCATGTGAGGTAGAGGATACAAATTCTAAGATGCTACTGGTCCACACACCTATAATTAACACACCAGTCCTTCCATGGGGTTCCATCTTGGCTAAGAGGCCAAGAGAAGAGGAAAATAGGTAATGAAGTCAAAGCATAATTAACAGTCAAGTAATGAAAATGATTGATGGGACATTTTACCTCTTCTCTGGTCTTTGGTTATAAAAACATCCTGTACAAGATAAAAAAGATCAAGAGGATTTTTACAGTGGATTTGCCTCATCCTTGAAGCCCATCATTCAGAATGGCCTCCCAAAGCAACCCTCCATGAATGAAACCTTCTACTGAACAGGCTAAAACTGCCCATTGAGGCACAAGCTGCCTGGTGAAAACTAGGGGAAAGAGACAAAGACCAAAAACTCGCTAGATTCTTCTTTGTTGTTACTATGGTTACCAGCAGAGGCACCAAAAATGAGTGTGCTATGAAAACATCAAACATGAATACGAAAAGTATAAATAGCCACTGCTATTTTCAGCCAGGGACTAAGCAAGCCATCACTGCTATCATTTCCTGACAGGTGGGGCTCCCGGCCTCCACTTGCTTCACAGCATGGATGACTAGCTCCCAAGAGGCATCCTTCCTATGAGACAGAAAATACAAGTCAATCATCACCCTGGCCTTTCTAACCTCAAGCAGGGTCTCTCCACAGCTTGGTTTTGTTTTCACAGCTTTTTTGTAACAAGAAGGTAGGAAGTGACACTTCACACAGCCCAATCACACCTCAGGATTAGGGAAATCACAGTGCTAACAGTTATCAAAGGCAGCTGGATGGGGGAAATGTTTGCTACAGTGTCATGGTTAACTTTTAAAATTTTTTAAATTTATTTATTTTATTTTATGTGTATGAATGTTTGGCCAGCATGGAGGTGTACCATGTGCATGCCCTAGTACCCACAGATGTTAGAAAAGGGCATTGGACCCCCTGAGAATGGAGTTACAGGTGGTTGTGAACCACCATGTGGGTGCTAGGAATCAAACCTAGGTCCTCTACAAGAGCAACAAGTGCTCTAAACCACCACATCATCTCTCTAGCCCTGAGACAGTTATCGTCAGCTTGACACAACCTAAAAATCACCCGAGCAGTCTCAGTAAGGGGTTGTCCACACTGGGTTGGCCTGTGGGAACGTTTGTGGGGGACTGTCTTGAGTATGTTAATCTATGTGGGAGACACAGCCCAGTGTGGGCAGCATCATTCCCTAGGTAGGTGATCTTGACCTGCGTAGGAGTGGAGAAATCAAGTTGAGCTCGATCAAGCAAGCATGCATGCATCCATTCCTCTCTGCTCCTGGCTGTGGACCTGTGTGACCAGCTGACTTAAGTCCTGCTGCTGGGACTTGACTTGTGCAGACACAGACAGTAACCTGGTATTTCAAGCTGAAACAAACCCCTTCCTCCTCTACATTTTCAGGTTATTTTACCCCAACAACAGAAGTGAACATAGTACATACAGTGTGGACTGAAGACTAAACATTCCCAACACACACTCTGCTCTGACCAACACAGTCATTACAGCACACGTAACTAAACAAAAGTGGTGCCACTAAAGGCTGTTTACCAACACTGAGTGAGTGGTGCTGCTGGAGTGATCGAACAAAACGCCAGTGCTCCATCTAGCCACATTGTTCATCGCCATCTTCTGCCGCCACAACCAAAAAAACAAAAGAAGTCAGAAAGTTTAGGTTGATGTGTCCTAGGAAGGAAATTTGCATTGTGAATGTAATCACGTGATCACCAAAAGCCTGCGCTTTGACAAAACCATAAAGAGCAGTTCAGATTCTTAGCACAAAGGGAAAACAAGCAATGTAGGAACTTGTTGGGAAACAGTTTGGATAGGAATATTATTGCAAGACTAATAATGGTTCAAAATGCTGCAAATAAGCTGAGTCCTGGACAGGACATTAACCTTCTCCCTTCCCCAAGGCTCTGGGGACATCAAGGAAGAGAGGAGGGGAAGGATGTAAGGGTGGGAGGTTAGAGAGGAGAGCCCTGAAATGCGGTTTCCTGGACATGACATAGCTAGTACACTCCTGAATTCACAGAAGCTATGGCTACACACACAGGATCCAGTCAATCCAAATCTCCAGCATGGAGAAGGGAGTTGCTACCAAAGGTCTCACCTCTAGCTGAGGAGCATTGATGGCAGCAGAGGAGAGAAAGACTCATTTTACCTGGAGGACATGGTCACTGGTAAGCTGTTCAAACTCCAGTTGCTGTCCCCAAGTTCATGCACATATGGGCATCATTGACTGGACTCAGTGCATTATAAATGGGAAAGAAAGAAAGACAGAAAGAGAGAAGGAAAGAAAGAAAGGAAAAGAAAAGTAAAGAAAGGAAGGAAGGAAATGAAAGAGAGAGAAAGAAAGAAAGAAAGGAAGGAAGGAAGAGAAGGAGACCAATTAGAGGAGGGTTTGGCTTACGTTGAAGGGAAGAGGAGGGTAGATATGCTCAAGATATGCTGTCTACATGTATGAACTTTTCAAATAATAAAACTATTGTTGATTTTTTTAATGCAGTCAGTCATGTAAGAAGAGGAGGTAAAGAAAACAGAAGTGAGCAGAAATGTGAAAGCCTGCCCAAGGAAGTGACCTATCTGAGCTACACCATGCTGCTTCTGATAGCCAGGGTCAACTACAGCCACCAGTGTTCTCATAGTGAAAGCCACAGAGCAGGAGACAGGGCTGAGCTGCAGAAAGACATTGGGTGGGTGGATGAGGCATGCACCATGTACAGAGAGCAGGCTGGGGCCTGGCAGGTGCTCAGGCTGAAGTGTGGAGCCTTTCCCCGAACCATTGTCTAGCCTAGCTACATAGGAGAACACGGAGGGTGCTGTGGAAGCTGACAACGGACAAAGGTAAACTGAAATGGATGAGTGGTCCATACCTTGTAAGAGCCTCAGTCATGGAAGGTGCTCTATGAGGAAAGAGCCAGCCCCTCAAGCATCAAAGACAAGGCAATGATGCTCAGGCAAGGAAGCTCAAATCAGGGAATTCTGGCAATTCTGTCTTCCTCAGAGGACATTGACTCAACTTATTTCATTTGCTGAGATTAGCATTCTCCCCTCCCACCTGTGGAGACTGATAGGGAGGGCAAGTCTATGGGAATAGAGAAGCCACATCATCCCAGTGTGGTAGAAACACTAACAGAGGATATAATCACCTTATATTTCAGGTTACTGCTTATTTTGTTTTATTGATTTATTCATTTTATTTTTATTTTTAATTTCCTATTTCTATTTTATATTTTTATTATTACTTGATAACTCTGTTCTTTGTTTTATTGTTATATTTTGGTTTGAATCTTGCTGAGAAAAAAAATTCTAATGATCGTGCTCGTTAGTTTTTTGTCAATTTGACACAAGCTAGAGTCATCTGGGAAGAAGACTCCTCAACTGAGGAAATGCCTCTATCATTGCCAAGTCTGAGGGCATTGTCTTGATTAATGGATCAATATGAGAGGGCCCAGCCCACTATGGCCAGTTTTACTCTTGGGCAGATGATCTTAGGGTGTATAAGAAAGCAAGCTGAGCCAGGCAGTGGTGGCACATGCCTTTAATCCCAGCACTTGGGAGGCAGAGCCAGGCGGATCTCTGTGAGTTCGAGGCCAGCCTGGTCTACAAAGCGAGTTCCAGGAAAGGCACAAAGCTATCCAGAGAAACCCTGTCTCGAAAAAACCAAAAACAAAAAAAAACAACAAAAAAAAGAAAGAAAGAAAGAAAGCTGAGCAAACCATGAGAAGCAAGCCAGTAAGTAGTGTTCCTGCCTTCAGGTTCCTGCCTCTCCTTGCTGCTGGGACCTCTGCCCTCTCTCATTGATGAACTGTCACCTGGGAAGTCAAACACACTTTCTCCTACTGAAGTTGCTTTTTGTTCATGGTGTTTATCACAGTAATAGAATGCAATGACTGTTCTTTCTCCACACTGGCAATGGATATCAAGGACAGAGTCAACCCAAGTTCAAGTAGGAATGAAAATAAGGGCTGAACTGGGATTTATCCAAACTAATATTATCAAAGACAGGAAGTAGCAGACAGGTGGGTTTGCAAGTGCAAAGGAACAAAAGCAGCACACACGGACTCTTTCAGGTGAAAAATGTGACGGGAACAAACAGTTACAATGGCTTGGAAAGCCTAGAACATAGGAGTCTTTTTCACAAAAACTTCAAGGAGGCTAGCAAGATGGTCAATGGGTAAAAGGGCTTGCCACCAAGCCCAGTGACCTGAGTTCAATACCCAGGATCCACACAGTGGAAGGACAAAATTCGCTTTTGTTTTTTATTTCCTGTGACGTCCACACAAGCACCAGGCATATAAGCCCCACCCCCAATATAACCATAATAATATATAAAAATTTAAATAAATTTTAAAAATTAAGACCTAGAGGATTAAATTCTACTAGCAAAGAAATACTTTAGAAATAAACAATATGGAAAGAAAGAGTATAGAAAAGGACTTGTGGTCATTATTAAATTCACTTAAGGGGCCGACAATATGGCTCAGTGGGTAAAGGGGCTTAATGTCAAGCCTGGTGATCTGGGTTTGATTCCCTGCCTGGTGGAAGAAGAGAATCGATTCCTCCAAGTTGTCCTCTGACGGTCACATACACGCCATGGCACACATGTGTCCCTCGACCCTACATAAATAAACGTGATTTAATTTTTTAATTCACAACTATAAAGCTTAGTCTGGATGTTGGACTCCATTAATATCCCTGGAAATGTATCTTTTCTTTTAGGGGATTTTAACATCTATATTTTCAGTGAATTAGAATTGCTTGGTGATCCCAACATTCACACTGTTTGTCCCTTCCTGTCTCTACCTCCTTATCTCCCATCTCTTCACCCACTGAACTAATAGTGAAGAGACATCAGGAATTAGATTTACAGCATAATTGGTGCTTTGGATATTTTTTTCCTTCCTTGCATGCCCCATTTGACTGCATTTTTATTAAAAATTAACATATATGTTTATGAAATACAGTAGTCATTATTCTTTCAAGAATGAAAAACAGGAATAATGTAAACAAAAATACAGCCTGTACACAAAAGGCAGGGAAGAAAGTATGTTTCCCTTAGCAACACGGAAGCAGATATTTAAACATAATCAGCATTCCATGAACACATAATTTAGCAATCAACAAATAACTGGCAGTCAGCTTGTAAATTATTCATATTTTAATTTTTCAACTGTTTACTCTTCTCAAATATTTATTTATTCCTTCAACCAAACACATTCACTCAGGAGTCTGAAATTTTTAAGAGCAGAAGAAAACTTTGTATCAAGCTGAATTTAAATGACACTCTGGAAACTGAGGTCCAACAGGAAGAGGAGGGACCCAAGTTCCCAAAAAAAAGCCACATCCATGTTAAACATTCTACAAGGTAATTGGTTGATCAAAACTGTGGAAAGTTGGGATGTTGTAAGTCCAGAACCAAATTATCTTTCGTTATTGTAAGTGTCCTAAACAGCCATTTATTTCTCTCCTCTGTGTTTGACTTAACATCCTTGTGACTCCTAGGAAAATCTTTTTGGAATGCAAACAAGACCCCTGTGTCAACCAGCCCCAAAGCTAAGAATGTCATCAGATAACATCTGAAGCCTCCAGCAGAGTCCCCCCAACTTTGCTGTGTAACCTGCTACCTGATGCTTCCACCTGAGTATTTTTAAGGTACCTTGATTTATGACTTTTTTCTGTTGCCATTACCATGAAACTGTTACCATGTTGGAACAAGGTATTGGGGTAACCTGGAGTCTCCAGGGCATGATTGCCAACACTTGACTCCAAAATGAGCTATTCTCTTCTCTTTAAGATAAGAGCTGTGTGTTCCCTGTCTACAAAGGAGACATCCAACTGGGGACAACAGCACAAACTACCTAAATGGTTCCAGGACTATGTGCTCTATTGAGCTCAATTTCTTTAAAACCACATTTCCACTTCACATATTATCTCAGATCAGAATGCTAGCCACCTAATATTGCCTTCTCTGTCGTTCATGGCATCCAGCCATGGCTGCTTCTAACCCATCCTCTAAAAGATATCCAACGGGTTCTGCTATGGCCCCATACCCACAGTTCTGATAATCTAGCACCCAGATTGACTCCCTATCCAAGCCACTCTGTAGCATGAACCTTAAAAGTTCTTATTAATAAAATCAAACCTGAGCCAGGTATTGGGGTGAACTGGAAGATCAGAGAACCAGAACAAGCCATAGCTACCTCACCTCGCCAGATCCTCAGCTGGTCTTGTTTTCTCAGACTGGAAGCCTCTGTGTCCTCATATCCGAATGGCTCTCAGCTGAACTGTGCTGCTCAAAACCTAAAAGCTTAACCAGCCAAATGCTTAACCAGGCAGACCAAATGCTTCTAGTTTCTGGTCCTCACGCCTTATATATCTTTCTGCTTTCTGCCTCACTCCCTGGGATTAAAGGCTCGCTTTCTGAGATTAAAGGCGTGAGTCACCATGCTTGGCTGTATCCTTGAACAGATGGATTTCTGCCTCTGGAATGCTAGGATTAAAGGCGTGTGCTACCACTGCCTATCCTCTATGTTTAATATTGTGGCTGCTCTGTCTCTGACCCCAGATAAGTTTATTAGGGTGCACAATATTTTGAGGAACACAATACCACCACACCACTCTCCTCTCTTCTCCTTTAAATTTGTTATTACAGACGTGTGTGTGTGTGTGTGTGTGTGTGTGTGTGTGTGTGTGTGTGTGTAAGAGAAAGAGACAGACAGGAAAAGACGGGGGACAGCGAACAGTGCATGTGTGGAAGTGAGAGAACAACTTTGCGGTACTGCCCATCCTCTCCTTGCATCTTTACATGGATTCTAGAGGTCAAACCCAGGTCACCACGCTAGCACAGCAAGTGTCTTTGCCCTCTGAACCATCTCGCTGGCCCCTCCCCTCTCTCCTCCTTTTATTCCATTTTTATTCTTTCCTGTATTGGTTACTTTCCTCATTGTTGTAACAAAACACCTGACAAAAATAACTTCAGAGTTTGTTTTAGCTCACAGTTCACACTGCTGGGAGGTCTGTGCATGGTACTCACGACGATGGTGAAAGGAGGGGGGTCTGTGCATGGTACTCACGACGATGGTGAAAGGAGGGGGGTCTGTGCATGGTACTCACGACGATGGTGAAAGGAGGGGGGTCTGTGCATGGTACTCACGATGATGGTGAAAGGAGGGGGGTCTGTGCATGGTACTCACGATGATGGTGAAGGGAGGGGGTCTGTGCATGGTACTCACGATGATGGTGAAAGGAAGGGGGTCTGTGCATGGTACTCACGATGATGGTGAAAGGAGGGGGGTCTGTGCATGGTACTCACGACGATGGTGAAAGGAGGGGGGTCTGTGCATGGTACTCACGATGATGGTGAAAGGAGGGGGGTCTGTGCATGGTACTCACGATGATGGTGAAAGGAGGGGGTACAAGGAAACAGGGATGGTTGTTTGGCTCATCTGAACTCCAGTGTTTAAGGGGTTGAGAGAAAGATTTTCTTTTTTCATTTTTATGCCTGTGTGTCTGTGTGAGTAAGCACACAGGAGTACAAGTGTCTGAAGAATCCAGAAGACGGTATTGACTCTCCTAGAGCTGGAATTACAGGTGGTTATAAGCTGCCCGACGTGGGTCTGAACCTCAGGGCTCGTCTAGAGCTCTAACCATTGAGCCATCTCTCCAGCCCCTGAGGTAAGTCTTGGCATGTGCATGTTAAGTCACACTGAAATGCTAACAAATGAGAGAAAACATCTGTAATTGTATGATCCAACAATAAGTCAATAGGAAAATTACAGAAAGAGCTTTCGCAAATCAATAGGAAGATCCATATATGCAAATAATCATAAGTATATTAACACATAGTTAACCCTAAAACAAATAAAACATATAAAGTAGATATGTAAAAACTATGAAAGTTTTTAATAATCAAAGAAAAACATTTTTAAACATAGAAAATTTAAATTGGCAAAAATGTGAGAGTGGCAGAACTGAACAGTCTAGGGTGGGAAGTTTCTGCCATTGCTAGTTGGTGGAAGAGTGAATCATGGATTCTTTTTAAGTGAAACTTGTAATGGATAACATAGCTTCTTTAAAAAGTACCTAGTGTGGGCTGGAGAGATGGCTTGGTAATTAATAGCACTTATTCACTCAGGAGACCTGGGTTGGGCTCCCAGCACCCAGACTGTACAGCTCACAACTGTCTGTAACTCTAGCTCCAAGAGATCTGATGCCCTCTTCTGGCCTTCATGAGCAACTGCAGTCACATGCACATACACCCACATATGTACATATGCATCAATTAAAATTTTTAAAAATAAATTTCAAAACAATGCATAGTCTTTAATCCTATCATCAAGAAATATAGCTGACAGGAAAACTAGACAAGATTGGAGACTTCAATTTTCCCTGTTCTTTACCAGACAAAACAGATTTCTAATGACCAATTAATATTTAATTATAATATAATCCTTAAATACTATAGTTGACAATTAAAAAACCTAAATGCATATTAATATATAAAATTTCTGGTATACTTATAGTATAAAAAGAAGTATTACAGAAAAAAATGATACAGTAATTTTAATTAATTTTATTAAGAAAAAATAGAATTTCTCAAGTGATTTTTCTCCAAAACATGGGATTCAAAGTAATTTTAATTAGAGTTTTTCTATGTCTGATGGTTTTGTGGTTATTATTTATTAAGTTTTAAAATTCTATAATAAAAAATAGTTGCTTTGTCAGAGAGCAAGAGAGATGGAGAGTTCTGACTTATGGACATATGTCCCTAAATGAGTTTGAGCACAGAAGTTATTCTGCTTAGAACAAAATATAAACGTACAATGCTAAGTTTCACAAGACAAAAACTCTAAGTTTTTGGAAAAAGAAATAACTGAAACAGCTTTCTTCTCAAAAGAATAGGAGCTGGTTTATTCTGGAGCCAAATATGAGTGACCAGAGTGAGTGACCATGGCCCAGGAACTCAAGACTCAGGAAATGTCCCACTGTGGAGACAGTGTTATGGTCATGAAGTTTTTGTTTGTTGGTTGGTTGGTTGGTTGGTTGGTTGGCTGGCTGGCTGGTTGGTTGGTTTCTCACAACAGGGTTTCTCTGTGTAACAGCCTTGTCTGTCCGGGAACTTGCTCTGTAGTCCAGGCTGTCCCTGAACTCACAGAGATCAGCCTGCCTCTGTTCCTCAAGTGCTGGGATTAAAGGTGTGATCCACCACCACCCAGCAGTAAATTTTAATAGTAACAGGGGGAAAAAGTCATAAATCAAAGAACTTTAAAAATACTTTGGTTGCGGCCATCAGGAGGATGGATCAGGGGTTAAAAGAGTACTCACTGCTCTTCCAGAGGACCTGGATTTGGTTCCCAGCACCTACATAATGGATCACAACTATCTAACTCCAGTTCCAGGGGATCCAATGGCCTCTTCGGACCACTGTGGGTCAGAAGGTATATACATGGTACAGATAGAGTCATGCGGATACTCACATACACAAAGACAAAATAAACACATCGAAAATACTGCATAGGTGGGAGCACCACACAGGTGGGCTACAGCAAAGCAAGAAACATCCCAGCTCTCCACAACACCCGCAAGTTCCTATCAGTCAGTCAGCCTTGTAGAATGCTAACACAAATGCGGCTTTTCTCTACCTGGGAGTGCCTGTTCACAAATCCAAACCAAACTATAGGCGTTTAAGGCAGGTCTGAAGTTTTTTGTTTTTGTTTTTTGTTTTGGTTTTGGTTTTTCAAGTCAGGGTTTCTCTGTGTAACAGCTCTAGCTGTCCTGTAACTCACTCTGTAGATCAGGCTGGCCTCGAAGTCACAGAGATCTGTATACCTCTGCCTCCGGAGTGCTGGGATTAAAAGCACGTGCCACCACTGCCTGGTTGAAGTTTCTTTCAAGGAAGTACAATGTTCATTTTCCCTGAATAAGTGAAAGAAAACTGAATAGGTCTAAAAACTAAAATATGTGTCTTTTAAGATGTCCAAAAGAATGTTGAGAAAGCTGGAGTTATTATAACGAACTGTAGATAAATTTCTAAACCGTCTTACTAAATAAGAAACACAGAGCCAAATACAGGGATGCAAGCCATAGAGATCAGACTGATAGTGATAGCCACCAAACTAACCTTAGCTCACCACACCACCTGCCGTTGCTTCCCAAGAGAGCCTCTTCCTGTCTAACCTGTGCCTTTATTGCCTTCCTGTTCTGCCTTCTCATTGCCACCTCACTTCCTCGTCACTGCCTATCTATACAGACATCCAGGTCTCTATGGTTGGTACTGGAATCCAGAATCTATGGTTGAACACACAGAGACTCTGCCTGCCATTGTGATCGGATTAAGGGCGTGTGCTACCACCGCCTGACTTCTGTTTATGGCTGGCCATGATCTCTGATCTCTAGGCAAACTTTATTAACATACAAATAAAATATCACCACATTTCAGCTCAAATAAATATCACCACATGAATCTTCTTCCATCTCTATAAAGCAATAGATTAAACACTTAAAAACAAAGGCTTTGAAGTCTGCAGAGTACTTATAGATGCCTTCCCTCCAGTAAAGACTCGTGTTAGGATTTTGTTGTACCCGTTCAGGCATATGTCTCATCATTTTGGTATGCTTTCCTCACACTCCTGTGATGTGTTGGATGTCGCAATTGACCCTAAGGAAAAGACTAAAATGTCCTAAACCTCATGTGACTGACTCTAGTTGAGTTATATTGTCATAAGTCCTGTGACAACCAGTACCATACTGTGCCAATAGTAGGAGAGAATCAGACATTAACTCTCCAGAGTTAGATACCACAATGAAAATTACCAAAACCAAGGTAAAGACAGGTATCCAACCCTGGAATTGGAGCTGGAGTTCCTAAGTCTGTCTGAGGATATTCAGAACAGCATCACCAAAGAGATTGGGGCTGGTCTAAATCTTGAGGATGGGTGAGCAAGCCAGGCAGGAGGCTTGACAAGTGCCATCGTCTGCTTTCTGCTGCTGTGGTCACCATCCTGACTAAAAGCAAGTTGGACAGGAGAGAGTGGCTATTTGGCTTACACGTCCTGTTCACAGTCCATCTGTGAGGACGGTCAGGGCACGCAAACCGGAGCAGAGGCAGGGACTATGGAGGAATGCTTCTTGCTGGTTTGCTCCCCATGGCTTGCTCAGAGATTGCTTTCTTATAGAACCCAGGACCACCTGCCCTGGGTGGCACCACTCACCCACATCGATTGTCAATCAATAAAATGTCCCCTATTTTTTTTTTACCTTAATGTCTTTTGCTTGTCTACTATGGTTTCCAATTTTGTGTTTTTGTGGTGTGTGTGAGGGTGTGTGTG